TTTTTCGCTGTAGCCTTTGTAAACATTTGCTGCTGTGATTGTAGTTTGCCTTTTAGTTCTTTAACAATTTTATGCTTTTCTTCCAAAGTATATTTGCCATACTTAACATTATGTTTGGTGTCAAAATGACGACGTATATTGTACTCTTTCATCACCGACACTGTCTCATAACACAATATACACACTAGTTTGCCCTCTCTAAGCACAAACATGTATTCATTTTCCCATTTGTCATTAAATTGTCTGCCTTCACCGTCAACTTTTCTTTTCCTGGACATTTTGGGATCAATATTGGCAGTAAAAGATGTAGTTTATTGGAAATCTGCGTTAGAAGGAAAAAGTTGAAAACTGCACAGGGATAGCTTGATTTGGCAGATGGAGTGGAGAAAAAAAAAAGTCAGTCAATAAATGCCTGGCTGGGTACAGATAGCAGATTCTGTTGCGATTTTTATGCCTGCACTTTATGCCAGGAACTGGCAGCTTCTGCTGTGTATTTTTTATGCCCGCACACTCACTCTCTCCTCTGCTCTGCCACCCGCACAACCACATCGGATGCCGGACTATAGGTCACGCCTCCTGAATCTCCCGTGACTTGTTATCTATGCGCATGCGTAATAGATAGCAAGTACCGCGGCCGGCGAGATCACAAGCCTCCTATGTCACCTCGTGTCATTGTGATGGAACGCAGCGGAGTACAGTGATGACAGCGCGGTGCAGGCCACATTGCAAGGCCTGGCGGGCCGGATTTGGCCCGCGGGCCTTGTGTTTGACATGTGTGTTTTAATCCTAGGCTCCACTCTAGATTGCTAGACTTTTTACATCCAACTGCTTAGTCTACTTAGATGTCTAATAAGCATCATAGTATAACATATCCAGAACCAGACTTGAATTCTTTCCTCAGTTCTGCTTTTACCTCATTTTATACCATTTCATGAATGACATTACTATTCCCTAGATGCTCAGGCTGAAAAATCTGTACTCCTGTCTTTCTCTCCCTTCTTCATCTCTTTCTCTGGAGTGCTCTCTCTCCCCTACTTCATCTCCTCCACTTCCCTCTTCCCTCCTTTACTCGTCCTTTCTCTTTCCCCCCTTCCCTCCCTTCTCCTCCCTCTATTCTTTTCCTCTCCGTCTCCACTCCTTCTATTCTTTTTCCCTTTTTCATTCTTTCCTTCTTTATCCCCTCATGTGTATTTCATTAACAAATCCTTCTGGCTCAGTGACTTTTATTTTCTACTACCACCACCACTCCCACCTATCCCTCCCACCCACCCTGCTGCTTGCTTTGTCTTGCTACTCTGGCCACTTTATACTTCCTCTCATGTGCCAAGCACACTTCCACCTCAGGGCCTGTGCACTTGCTACTCCCTCTGGAATACTCTTTTCTCAGCTTTCTGTACATTCTCATTTCCTGTTTGTCTCTGCTCAGATGTCAACAGAGACCTAACTCAGCCACTCTAACATTCATCTACCCTCACTTTGGCATTCTCTGATCTCCCTACCTTGCTTTTTCTCCATCACTTCCTAAAGTGCTAAATATTTATATGCTTTGTCTCCCCAACTAAAATGAGTTTCATGAACTCAGGGACTCTGTTTTCTGCAGTATCACTAGAACAGCAGTGGCTGGCACATTGTAACCACTAATTATTTGTTTATTGAAATGAATGAATGCATGAGAATTCAGCCAACATCTGCTCCTCATACCAAACCAGAATTATTTTCTTATGTATGTATTTGAGGTTTACACATACCTACCATGACAGGATGAATTTGTTTCTTTTATGTGAAGGCAGTTGGGACATTGTTAACTACTATATGCAGCACAATTATTGTATTGTGATACTAATTTCCTTGAATAATCTTTCAATTGAGCAAAAATAATTAGATAAATTCTTGACTTTTTAAAGTCAGTATAGTCTCCTAAAACACTGAGACAACAGGGGAAGTGCTTCCTATTGACCAGTAAGTCCTGTGGAAGTGATAGGAAGGTTTGGATAAATGGACCTTTTCCTCTTTGAGTCTCTAATTGTGAAGAAAGTGAATGTTTGCCGTAGTCAGGTGATTTTCCTAGACTTTAGAAAAGCAGACTTTATTATACTCAGAAAGTACGGTAAACCTTTTTTATTGTGTGGCTAAAGAATTAAAAACTAAATTACTTCAAAAGAATTTTCTAAAAATATATATTTTGTTTAAGCACCGAGACAATTCTAATAAGAAACAAAAGTATGACTTTGTCGATCTGTTCTAATTAAATTTTATTTTATTATTTTTATTTTATTGATTTTTTACAGAGAGAAAGGGAGAGAGAAAGCTAGAAACGTTGATGAGAGAGAAACATCGACCAGCTGCCTCTTGCTCACCCGCTACCGGGGATGTGCCCTCAACCAATGTACATGCCCTTGACTGGAATCGAACCTGGGACCCTTCAGTCCGCAGACTAATGCTCTACCGCTGAGCCAAACCAGTTTCGGCTGTTCTAATTAAATTTTAAAGGATATAACAAATGACAAAGTAAATGTCATGTTCTATAACTCTTGTCAGATTAAACCAAGAAAAACCTGAAAATAATGAAACAAAGACCACAAAATGGATATTTTTAAGTTATGTTTATAGCCTTCCTTCTATCACCTCCCTCCAAAAAAAGAAGAAAAAAAAGAAAACCAACCAGGAAATGATAAAAACCACTGCTCAGGAAAGATGATGTAATATTAATATACCACAGAAAAAAGGCAGATTTAATCAGCTCCTATTTTGGTTTGTTTTCATCTTCTTTGTTAGAACAAACAATGATAGGGAATCTAATTTTCAATACTAAAATACTATCTTTGATATGACTAAAGCAAATGGTTACTGATGAAAACCTGACTTTTAAAAGCAGAATCCTCCTCTTAACCATATATTCATAGGATGGGTCCTAAAATTCTTCTGAAAGAGAATCACAGTCCCTGCCCTGTTGTGGAACTTGTGAACTAGTCAGGGCCAGATTGAGGTGATATAGGAAGGCATAAATGTAAAACAGCTAGGTAAACCTCTATTTAAGCAAATGCAAACTAAAGTGGGAGGGTGTTACATACCAAATAAGGGGAAATTTTTTAGGGAAAGGATTAATCTGGGTGATTTTATGAAGGAAGTAACCTTGAACTACGCTTTTGAAACAAGTAAAACATTTTAATTATAGGAAAGGAATAAGGAAAGCACTTTCAGTAGGGATAGTACAGAAACAGAATAATCCTAATATATAAAAACCCAAGGGTCGTCACGTCCTAAATGACCGGAACAGACAACAAACAGGAAGCTGTGTGGGGCAACCAGGCCGGCAGGGGAGACGGTGAGGGATGACCAAAGGACTCCTGGGCCCTGGCCAGGGCCGCCGGCCAAAGGGAGCTCTGGGCCCTTGCTGGGATACAGTGGAAATGTGATGGGGACGTGGCCAGCGGAGTGGTAAGGAGCAGCGAACAGGTGGGTGGTAAGGAGCGAGGGGTCCCTGACTGGGAGAGGGATTTCCAACTGTCAGCTACAGGCAGACATCCCCTGAGAGGTCCTGGACTGAGGAGGGTTCAAGCTAGGCTGAGAAACCCCACCCTACCACCCCAGTGCATGAATTCTGTGCACCGGGCTTCTAATAGTTCTAATAATAGAACAGTAGCATATCTTGGCTGCTTACATTTGTTAGTATTACACATGCCATTAATTCTACACATCTTTATAGAGACAAATGAAAAGGTATTTACTTTGGTAAGAAGTAAATAACAGCAGTCAGAAGTAATTTTAAATAGATTATTTTAAATAGATCTATTACTCTGCTTACTATGTGTGAAGAACTTTGTTAAGTGACTTTTATTAGTATTTAAATATGTGCTATCTTAATTCTTGTGTCAGTTTTGAAATCCTCTTATTAGTAGTTTGTTTTACAAATGGGGAACTAAGATGCTATAAAATTAGCAACAGTAGCAATAACAGCACCTGGCAATAAATATTTGGCAAATGAATGAAAGAATAAGTAAGCAAACATGCCCAAGATCCGTGAGAAAGCTTATAAGTGCTCAGCTCCAGATTTACCAAAGTCTGACCCTTAGCCTGCACACTAAACAGTGAAGTGATGACATTTATCTACATAAATACAGTGGATCCAGTAAATGAAGAAGGTTAAATAACTCATGGATTAAAACTATTGATGAAATTGTAAGAGGAATGGAGTATTGAGGATAAGAGTCAAGTTTTTAGAGTCAGAGATCTGATTTTAATTTTACTTTTTGTACTTATTGGTCATATTACCTCCTTGAGGGACATTCACCTTTTACCCATTTTTTACAAAAGCCAATACTCTGTAAAGTGTGACAGTGATTCTCTTCTAAATAGAAAAACGGGATTAGAAGGAGTAATACATGGAAGGTACTTACTATACTTGGCACATAATAATAATAAATAATTATAGTAATTACTACTAACAGTTTTGGTCTATTAGAAAGGAAAACAACTCAATGAAAATAAACTGGAGAAATCTGAATTTAGCAGCGGCAGCCAGGATGAATTTGAAGATGAGAGCAGAGGCTAGAAGAATAGTAGAAAGTTGTTGAAGCATTCCAGTAATGCCTGCAAGAGAGCAATAGCATGCATGAGACAAAGGGAAAGGGGACTAGTGGATGGGAAAGACACTGCAAAGGCACAGTCAAAATGTAATGCTAAGTTTATATCTTTTTAGAGAATTCTAAGGTTATTGTTGACAATTTGTCATTGGAATTAGGTACTTAAATGCCTTTGGCTTGCAACTCAAAGCTCAAGAATGATGGTAGTTCTGATTATGACATACTGAATATATTGGTAGAACTCACTCTCTCTTTTTCTCTCTCTCTCTCTCTTTCCTATCCCACCACAACCAAAATAATATCAGGTTTTTTTGCATAGCTTTTTGAGATCTAAAGCAATCCAAGTATTTGTTTCCCCAGGTCATTCTTTTGTTGATCAAGGGTTGCTCATTGAAAACCCATTCTCTTTTATTTCAGTGCAAACAGCTACTGACTCAGTCTATAGACTCCAACAGAGGGAGCAGGAACGAAAAAAGGTAAAAATAGATCATTTGGGTATTTATAATCATATCATTAGCTTTTGATTAAAATAAATTATCTAAATTTGTTTTTTTATGCGATGATTTAAAAAAAAATTTTTAAATGGCTAATTCATTCACAATGTTTTGAAGAGGTATGGGTACATGATTGCACCATCTATATGTTTACAATTTTAATTACATACCTTGACCATTTTTTCCCCACCTTTTCAACATTTCCATCTTTTCCTTAAAAGTGGTATTTGTCTTATGGAGGACAGAGAATAGGACATTTACATGGAACAAAAATGCCCACCAGATTGGAAATATAAATCTTCCTTCGTGCCTGAAGCATTGAGTATAGTATGTATATTTCTTCTAGGAAAGGAAGCATGTGGATGGGTTATTTAATGAATAGTCGTAAGGGGTGTGAATCACTTGCCAGGTAGTGCTTTGCTTATTTTAATTATATCTTAACTAAATTCAGATGTGGAAAAATAGCTTAAAGGTTTAAGTCCGTGTTATAATTTGGTGTTTTCACATATAGTTTTCATGAAGTATTTATATAGTTTATTTATTGCTTTAAATTAATAAAGACACACTTAAGAAATGTTGAAAATACTAAGTCATTCTGAGATACACACCTTTTTGCATGTGCAAGTATCAATGAGTGTTATTATCTCGATTTCTCTGGAAGGTGTTGTGCTTAAACTACAATAATGGTTCAGATTTGGCATTGTATAAAAATATATAATGGAATGAACCTTGCCCCTGTTTGAATGTCTTCACCCTCTGCTCAACTTTAAATATTGATATAAAGTTTAAACATTGAATAGTTTGATAAACCAAGCCTCCTGAAAGAACTTGACATTCAAGCCAGGTGGGAAGGCTGCCCAAGAAGAGCAGGATTGTTTCTAGCAGGCCAGGTCAGGAAACAGGGCCATTGCGGAGCAGCTTGATAAAAGGCAAGGCAAAGCCATAGGCAGGAAAGTCTGGGTTGGGTGGAGTGTTTGCCCTGTGTCTAGAGAGCACTGTATAGGCAGGAACAGGGTCTTCAATGGGCTGTTCCTGACTGGACAGATTTTTTTTTAATCCTCTACTTTTCTAGGGGGAAAATTTTACTTTGTTAAGTTTGAAACAGTTTGTATATTATACTCAGGAGGTAAAAGACTAGGGGTCCCAAACCACTAGTCTAGGGGTGTCGAACTCAATCAGAGAAGGGGCCAGAATCTAAAATCCAGCCTAAATCGCGGGTCGAATGGTTTACTGAACAGTCATAAACTGTCATTGTGATGGAAACGCAGCGGAGTGCAGTGATGACAGCGCGGTGCGGGCCACATTGCAAGGCCTGGTGGGACGGATTTGGCCCACGGGCCTTGTGTTTGACACATGTGCACTAGTCTATAATAATAAAAGGATAATATGCTACTTAGACCGACATCATTCCTGACGTCATTCCGGATGAAGCCTGGACCGGAGGGAAGCCTGGGTCACAGGTGCCAGAGGGCAGCCTGTGTCAGCAGCCAGGGAAAGGAAGGCCTATTCTTGCACAAATTTTATGCATCAAGCCTCTAATCCTATATAATAAGAAGGTAATATGCAAATTGACCATCACTGCAACACACAAGATGTCCACCCCCATGTGGTCAAAGATGGCTGCCCCCATGTGGACACAAGATGGCCGCCACAAGATGGCCACCAGTTGGATTGTGAGAGGGATGTCTACATAAAAATTAGCCTGCTTGCCCTAGGGCCTAGGCGGTTTGATTTGACCCAGTGGATAGAGAGTGGCCCGTAGACTGAAAGGTCCCCAGTTCAATTCCTGTCAAGGGCACATGCCCAGGTTGCAGGCTCGTTCCCAATGGAGGGTGTGCTAGAAGCAGCAGGTCACTGATTCTCTCTCAGCATTGATGTTTCTCTCCCTCTCCCTTCTCTCTGAAATTAATACAAATACATATTTTTAAAATTAGCCTACTATATTTGGTCAAACATTGAATTAACTCACCCCTAATGCCTTGGCAGGGGCAGACCAAATGATTTCGCAGGTTTCGTATGTCCTGTGGGCCAGACATTCCCCACCTCAATCTAAAGGGTTATATTTGAGGATGATTGTTGAGAACCTTGATAACTAATATTAAACAAGTTGTTTCTGAAGGCTCCAGGAGCATTTCTGTGTTTGAGAAGCAAAAAGACTTTTTCTGTAAGAACACTGGCTATTCCTGGGTGTAACGTGCAGTTCTCTTGGCTTTCACAGTGAATGCATGTTGAACATGTTGCTGTGTGATTTAAGCAGATTCATGTGAAAATGCTCTCACGTTATTTGTCAGAGTGGATTCTGATAAAATGGCGATTCTTTTAATCCTTGAACAGAACTAACCTAAAATTAAATTGGAATTGGAATGGTTCTTCTTGGCACTTTGAACTTTTTTCACATTTGGTATATTAACTATATATAAGTAGGGAAATGACCAGATTTGGTTTAAAAAAAAAAAATACAGTGTCTTCTAGTTCTAGCTGTTTTCTTTATTAGCTAGCTGTATGTTCTTGGGCAACGCCTAGAGCTTCAAGTGCTTCATCTGCAAAATAAATACCTATTTTACTTAACCTGGTGGATGTTTTACTTACCTGATAGATTGTATTATGTGGTTTATGTGAAATCGTTTTGCAAATTGTATATCACTCTTCATATGTAAGGTGGCACATTTTCCCTGCCAGTTCAATCATTTGTTTAAGATGCAGGCAAGCACTTTGTGCAGAAGAGCCCTGTTGTGGTTTATTAGAGTTGGCAAAGCCTTTGAAAATCCTACCCATTCATGATTTTCTGAATTAAAAATACTGTCTCATGGTTGTTTTTTCTTAAAATAGCCTTGAGAAATAATAAAGCCCTTAGAATATTTTAGTCTTAAACATATTTCTGTAGGTATTATGTTAGAGAACATTACTGAACTATCTATAGAGTACACGTTAAAGTTACTATTTTAGAATGTACTGAAATGTTGTGTTTCCCTAAGGACTGATATGGAGTCTGTGAAATCTACTTGCATTATCAGCCACCCTGACTGTTTTCTTTTCTCAAGATAACGTAATAAAATTAACCAGCTATAAGTCACACAACGATGTGCTTTTCCTAGAAGAATAAAAATTCTTTATACTCTTCCAAGGCAATGAACCTTTAGTCTTTATTTCTTTTTCAGAGTTTATGTAGTTAGCAAAACATTTGAAATATGTATCTTTAAGAATTTTTTTTTCTGTCATCTGGCTTTTGCCAAAACTTTGACATGACAAAGGTTTCAACACTACACATATATAAAAGACATAGAGGTAAAGTTTAATTTCTCATCTAGCAAATACATAAAAAGCAAAATTGACGTCTAGCTGCATTTTGCAATCTGTTAATTGTTGTCCTTAATTATACTGTTGGCTACATTTTGTGTATTTGAATGGCTCTCAGAACAAAGAAAGATGGGAGTAGTAATGGAATAAAATAGACTCTTGCCATTAATCATTAATTCTTTTATGTCAAGACAATTTGTGGAATTCTGTGGGAAGTAAATTATGATAAACGTCATTCATCCAAATCACATTTCCCACAATTGATATCTAAAAGTACATTTATAAGAACAATAAATGTCTTGAAAACGACTCACTAATACAAAGTTGCATTTTGGGTGCTAGCAATAAGAGTAGTGCAATGAAAATACAAGTAGCAAAAAAATAAAATAAAGAAAATACAAGTAGCCTATAAAATTCACTGGCTCTTAAAATATTCCATCAAGGGAAGTGAGTTTGCTAATATGTGTGAATAGTTTAAACTTGGTTTCCATACACAAGTATCAACTTTTGAAGCCACATTCAACCAAACTAGAGATAGTAATGAAGTAAACATGAATCCTTTGATTTATCTTGTTCACAAATATTTATTAGATTTAGTTATGTCTCAGTATGATTTTTATGAGTTCAGTGAGATAGCATAGATTATACATTGTTCTTGATAGAGTGTGAAAATGCAGAGTTAATAGATCAATAAGTAATATTCTATTTAAAATCATTACTGACAGTTGTTATTCTAACACTTCTTACCAAAGTTAATACTTTTTCATTTGTTTGTGTCGGGCATATGTAAAATTAATGTCATGTGTGTTACTGACAGATGTTCCATAGGGCATTTTAGACTGAGTTTTCTCTGAGACCAGGGTTTCTCAACCTCTGCACTATTGATATTTTGGACCAGATAATTCTTTGTTGAGGATAGAGGAGGGGGGACTGACCTGTGCTTTGTAGGATGTTTGCAGCATCCTTGGCCTTTACCCATTATATGCCAGGAACACCTCCCCCTAACCCATACTATGATAAACAGAAATCTGGGATACAGAAGCATCAAAATCCATTTCCAGCCAGGACCGGTTTGGCTCAATGGATAGAGCGTCGGCTTGGGGACTGAAAGGTCCCGGGTTCGATTCTGGTCAGGGGCATGTACCTTGGTTGCGGGCATATCCCCAGTGGGGGGTGTGCAAGAGGCAGCTGATCGATGACTCTCTCTCATCGATGTTTCTAACTCTCTATCTCTCTCCCTTCCTCTCTGTACAAAATCAATAAAATATATTAAAAAAAAAAAATCCATTTCCAGTTGAGATCCACTGACTTAGACTAAAGCATGCAGAAATGTATTATTATGTGTCCCAGAGTTCATTTCTAGACCTATCCCTTGAATGTTTTGGCTTTAAGATTGGCTTCTCTTTAAATTTATGTCTAATGAAATATATATGTAAGGCAGTTTATTAATTCTATTTTTTACTTTTTGTAGAAAGAGACAAAACCATTAAAGCTAATTACTCCTAGTACACAGTTGTAGCTCATAAACAAACTTTCTCTTCATTTTTGTTTTGGCATTTTCTAAATATATCTTCAGAAAATCAGTTGCATTCACTTTATAAAGAACTAGAGGCCTGGTGCACGAAATTCGTGCATGGGGGGAGGAGGGCTGGGTGTGTGTCCCTCACCTTCTCCAATCTGGGATC